AATGCCCGCGCGTTTCGCAGAAACACCTATATAGTTGAAGTATTACAAATATATGTTTTTTAAAATATAACAATAACGTCGTTGTTAAATTTGATATAGTAATTCGTATACTAAATTGATATAATATATTGATTATTTTGAATTATACGATAATATATACATCTATTATAACTGCATACTCTCAATCGTTTGAATAACTTCTATCTGCGAGTTACACATTAATTAAAAATAAATATAATATATGGTTTAATGTTATTTATAGTTGTTGTTATTTTTAATTAATTTCTTAAAATTTATTTTCTTATTGTTTTAGTCTCTATAATTATAATTATTTAAAACATCAAACATTATTTTATGATTTTAAAAATAACAATATAATCGTTTATAGAGAGTTATTTTTAATTATTGTTATTATAAGTTATTTTATGCTACAAATTTGAAAACTTTTAACAGTTATAAAAAGATATTTAGGAAATATTTTAGTTATATTGAGATTATAATTTAGTTTTTGCATTTATCACTACAATTTATCACTTTTAATTATTTATAAAATATCCTTTGGTTTTTTAAAGGGAACTGAACTTTATATTTAATATGACACTATAATGTTATATTTAAATTAACAATTTAAGTATTTTGTCAAAATCATTTAAAAGCTGTAGCTTTAAATTGATAATGGTTTACATACAACAACATTTTAAATTTAACAAATTTAGTATAATATATTAAAAGTTAAGATATAACATTATAAGTAAAAGTAAAGATATTATTTTAAAATTGAAATTTAATTTATTTATGATTACACTTTAGATTTGATATTTATTTAACCTTACTAACCAACTTATAATCATTATTAGAAATACACTACAATTTATCACTTTTAACTATTTACAAAATATTTTTTGGGTTGTTTAAGTTAAACTAAAATTTATATTTAAGTTGACACAATAATGTTATATTTAAATATATAATTTAAGTATTTTATACAAATTGTTCCAATATTGTATCTTTAAAATGACAATAGTGTAGATCCAACAATATATTAAAACTAATAAATTAAGTATAGTATATTAAAAGTTAAAAAGCATAACTTTATAAGTAGAAGTAAATATATTATTTTTATATTGAAATTTATTTTAAATATAATTATACTTTAGGTTTGATATTTATTTAACTTTATTAACCAACTTATAATTATTATTAGAAAGAAATTGAAAAGTCATGAAAGTTTCAAATGAATGTGGTGAAAGAAAAAATGCATGGGAGTTTCAAATTAATGTGGTGAAGGAAAAATGTTTCCTTTATAAGTATAATACTAGGCGAATCCTCGTGCGTTGCGCGAGAAAAGAATTATATAGTTAAAATAATAAATTTTACCAAATTAATATTTAATATTTCTACATTGAAATAAAATGTTAGTAGTAAAGCAAACATATAGTTAAAATATTAGTTTTATTAAACATTATAGTTTAATTTTTAAGTCATTGTGATATATACAACTATTTGATAATTTTATAAATCGTTTAAAATTGTGTAAATCATATATCAAATGAATGATACTATAACGGGTAACAACACATAAGAACAAAAATATGAACTGCAACTTTTAGTAACATAAAAATAGAAAAACATATATTATAACATTTGCATTAATATATATATATATATATATATATATATATATATATATATATATATATATATATATATATACACACACACACACATACAACGAATAATAAAAAAATATGAAAAATAAACATTATAACTTTTAATAACATAAAAACAATAAAACATCTATTATAACATTTTTATTAACTCTTCATATTTAAATCACAAATCTCTTCAAATACATTAACGTTTTTAGTGACCAAAACTTTACAACCTTATAAAAGAAAGGAAAATAAAAAGTTATTAGTGATTACTAATTAATAATCATAAGTTAAAAACTCTTAAGTTGTGACTAATATATATATATATATATATATATATATATATATATATATATATATATATATATATATATATATATATAAATTAGAAAACTCTTGAGTTGTAGTATGAGTTTCAAATGAATGCGTTACTTGGAAATTTGTATTTATTTTTGTTATTATTATTATTATTATTATTTTATTCGTCTAAATAATTGGTTTTGATGCATCATTTTAATCCATTCGATTATTAAACATAAAGAAATTTAATTATAAATTTATAACACATAGGTGCATATACATGTTAAACAAATCACATATAATATATATTTTCATAAATGTCATATTTAATTATTGTCGTAGTAATATGGATAAATTACTTTCATATAAATAACATATCATGATAAGTTTATCATAATTACATATCAAATGTTAAAAATTATGTTATCTTTTAAATATGTTGTATAGGATAACACAACAAAAAAATAGAAAATAAACATAATGAAAATAGAAAAACTACAATCAAATAAATAAGAGCATTGAGTGGTTGAATATATAAATAAAGATGTTACATAAACATACATTTAAATAAAAAGAAAAAACTAACATTCGTCAACTTTCCTCAAACAAAAAAAACCTATATCCGTTTTCTGAATCTTCTTTCTTCATTTAACAACATTGAACCATAGAAACTTGATGACAATTCTTCAATAACCTGCAATCAAAATATTTTTCTTGAAAAAGAAGAATCAGAAAGATATTCCAAGCAAAACATTCATGTTTGGAGAGTCACATTCAAGATTGAGTAATACACAAAAATCACATATAACGATTAAATGAGAAACTAAATATAAAGAAAGAATAGAAAAACTTCATTTGTTTTAGTTGAAAGAAAAAATCATATTACAATTACCATCGATGCGACGTAACCCATTTCTTCAGATCATCATATTTTGATTGTGAATGCTTCAACTATATGAAAACATTTGAATCACAATATCTTCAACTAAGTGACGAGTTTTTGTAAGAAATATATACTAATATAACAAGATATATAATAAGAGAATGCAAAAAAGTTATTGGAAATTTATAAATACTATAAATGGTTTTAATTAAGGAATATAAAAAGTCACTACTAGAAAAAAGCCCTTTAATAACACGCAAACAATGACACGTGCTGATAGACGATACACATTTATGTGTGCCCTAAAAAATAATGTCAGTTTTGCAAAATATGAAGGATAGAGGGCACAGATTTGTGCGTGCCGTAAAATTAGTGTCAGAAAAGAAAAAAAGAAAACGCGGAGGGCACCATTCATAAAACGTGTGTCATCTAAGTGTGTCGCTTTATAATTTTTTTAATGAAACACGCGTTTAAAGCGGGATTTTACCCGCCTATATTGGATCCCAAAAATTAACCCCCCCGCCTCTTTCGATTAGCAAGAAAAAGCCCTAGGGCGTTGGTCTTCATAGCAGCATCGCACCACCACCCAACCTCCGATCTCGCACTGCTAAGTTTCTCCGACCATCTTCTCCAACCATTTGGGAGAAGTTGTTTCCAAACGTTTCAACGTTTCATTACGTTTGACCAGCTTCTAAACCAATTTTCCCTTCCATCTTACGAAGACATCCTATTTTTCTTCTTCAGCGATTCCCCCCTTCTCCTCTAATTACTTTCTCAGCTTCTCCCCTGACTTACAACAAGAAAACCCTAGTTCTTTCCTTTAACACATCTTCGCAAAATCAAGCGCATACAACCATCATCTATGAGAGTACGTATGTCTTCTTCCTCTTACAATCGCTAAGCCCTAACACCGAAAATTGAAAGTCAATTGACCCTCCGTTCGAAGAAAAAGGTAAGAATTTTCCTTTATTTATTCCATTCCGTTAGTTTGACCTCATATTCTTCTGTTCTTCGTCTTTTTCTTCCAAATTATCAACTCTAGCCCTATACTGTGTTTTCTTTAAATGGAGAACCATTCAATTTAGGGCTTGATTGCAATTTTATCCACGAAGCCGTTCTTCAGTAGTCAACTTTTTCATCTTTTTCTGAAGGACCAATGCCCTTCTTTAGTGATTTCAGGATCCATGTAAGTATCAATGTTGAATTCATCTTTTTCCAATTGCTTTTCCATCTCAGAATGCAAATAGGTCTGGAACTTTACATCATCTGTGATTTTAAGGGATAACCTTTCTTTTAAAGACCTTGCAAATTCCTTCTCACTTTTTGATTTTCCACTTAGAACTAATACAACAGGTCGTTGGGACTCCATGTTTGCTATAAAAAAGCACGATCTAGTTAGTATACACATATCATAAACACTAGATTTTGCAATCTTAGATGATAGTGATACTTAAATTGTAATAATTAAATTGGTGTGTTTAAGAATTTGTAGGTCCCACATGAAGGAACAATGTGTGATCTGTTAAGGTCGGATCCAGATGATAGATGCGGGTAGGGGTTCTCTCCACATGGGGTCGGGTACACATTCGGACAAGACATCACGTCTCACTTCAACTATACAAATGGGCTTACTCTCATCTCCAGAGCTTACTAGCTTTTCATGGAGGGTTTCAACTGGTGTCATGTATATTTACTTAATTAGCCCTCTATCCCTATATCCCTCTTTAATGATAATCATTAGGCTTATTAATAAGATTTTGATTGATATTAGGACAAGAATGTGGTGACAGTGTTCAGTGCACCAAACTACTATATGACAGTGTTAATATCAGTTTCCATGTTCTTTTTTATACTTGATGCACCTTTGATGTATCAAGTTGCCTATGTTTTCCTTGTTAAATTTGATTTTTGGAAGAGTATGAAACGAGGAATGGTCATGGTTATGTTCTTCATGCACAATGCTTCTTACTTCAAAAATAGAGTTGGATCAGTATTGGGGGGAGTCGCAAGTCATGGGGCCCAAACAACACGGTGCTTCTTACTTCAAATATGGCTTTACATTATCAACAAACCAATTTTGACTCCTTCCTTTTCAAATATGGTTGTTCTTTTGAGTTATTTTAACAATATTTTGTGACCAATTATTATTTTTGAATGTTGACAACATGACCTCATTGCGTTCTATTAAGCATTATCTTCTTCCGGATCAGGTTAAATTTTGATTGTTGTGTTTTTGTAGTTTAAATTTTTTGAATTGTAATTTGTAATTAAATTTGATATTTGATTTGGTTGAGTTACAAATACAGGGTGATTTCTTGGTTCATTTTACGGATATTACACTTGATGAACTTGATAAAACACCAAATGAGATCTCTGTTGAGAAGCTTCAGGTCTTTCTCCATTTAACTCGTATTATCTTACTCAAAAAAACCAGAGTATATTATGGGTAATTATTGTGAATACACCACTGATACTTTATTCTTTCCAATCAAACAATAATAGTTAAGACATTTTTTCCAAATTAACCATTCTAATTCTCCAAATTAACCATGTTTGACCTATTATATCAGGTCAAAATGGTTAAATTCGAAATATTTCTGAAACTTTAATGGTTTTTTTATTGGAAAAAAATAAAGTAGAAATGGTTAGTTAAACTGCAAAATTGCCCAAAATGTAATGTTGTTTCTATAATTTACCCTTATGTGTATCATCCATATGTATGGTTAGGGATAAAATTTATGTTTTAATTTATTTGAGTTTAATTTTTAGTCTCTGTTAGATCTTGCACTACGTTCAACAGCGGCTGCAACATATCCTTTGCATGAGGATGTCACATGTTCTGTGGCCAGTTTCATTTATTCCCATTACAACATAACAATCTACTTCCGTGCAAAATGACAAATTTGGACTCATCTTCTTCATCTATGTGGGGATTTGTGCAGTTAAGTGAGAAGTTGGATCCTGAAACTATGAATTTGATTGGAGAGGAGTTTATGAATAAGGGACTTCTTCTATCTGATTCCACTACTCCTACTACTTCAATAATAACTGGTGAGGAGGTGTAATCAAGCCATGAAATTTCTATCACTTCATAAACATTATCCTCATGGAAGGAAGCAACACAAAAACTTGTCAACACTATTCTTGAGGTAACAGTAACACACCAAATTCTATTTTGATGTCATCTATATCTTTAGAAAATTTATTATCAGAATTCTAGCTATATAAAAGTAATAACAATAGGTACACATTTAAAGAAAACAAGGTGCAATAAAATAGTATAATAACCAGCAAACAAATTAAACAGTCGAGTTTAAGAAGATACATTTTTGTTGGTTCGTGATATGTATGTATATAGTTAAGGAGGGAGAATATGATTATGAAAGAAGAGTGCCAAGTGATGAGGGAGGAGAACAAGATAATAAGGCAAGTCAAGAAGAGGATCAATGCCAAATTAACACAAAATAAGAAGCTTTACTTTGTCCTGGGGATTGGCTTTGGTGTTTTAGCTTCTACCTGTTTCTCTATTGTGATTCTAGTCTCCTCTTGAAATTCATTCATGTTACATAGTCAAGAAATGTGTTTGCTATTAAGGTACTCTCAATTTTTTATGAAATTTTATAAATAATAAAGTATTCTTGTTTTTTTAATTGTATTCCAACTGTGGTGTAATTAGAAAGATAACATTCTGAAATAGTCAAAAGGTTGACCAACTATTTATACATGCCTGTTTAAATTTGATCTCTATTTGCACAAGAAACTTCACTTTCTAACAGGGCATATCCTACTACGCACTTCATATCTACATTAAGCATGTGTTATGCAATTTTTTCCTTTAATAAAACTATTCATATATTTGATTTTAACTGGCATCCCTTTGTTTACCAACCTAACATAAAAATATTAGAGGTTTTTTTAAATTTGGTTTTTTCCTTTATGTTTTTTTTTTCAAATTACTCATTAAATAGCTACCCAAAACAGCACCAACTGGGGTTAAATTTCTTGAGTAATTTATGGTTGGGAGCATCACCAAGACCAGAGGCGAATCCACTTACAAGCAAGGTGGGTCCTAGGACCCACCTAATTTTTTTAATTTATATAATATTTGAATAGAAAAAAGAATACAAATTATCTTAAAAATAATTAGGACCTACCTAATAATATTTGATAAAATAAGAAAACAAATAAATAAAAAATAATGGAAAACTGATACTTACATTTCAAAGCAAATGGTTAATACTTTGAAAACCTATCAGACATTGAAGATAAAAAAAAGAGTTGAAGCTGTTTGATGTTATAAAAATAAATTATGAATGGTTATTAGGAAATTAAAAAAAGCAAACAACTTTTCTGATATTGTTGTTCGTACAAAATGGTTGTTACAAATGAACTTTTTAAAAAGGTAACAGACTCGGTCGTGCAAAGTAGTTATTTTTTTGTTGCAAAAATCAGGTTTTAGTGTTAAGTACACTGATTTTACCAGTTTTTAACTATTCTATTGGTCTGGTTGAACTCGAGCTTTACGAACCGGTTGTTTTTTTGTTGGTTCAACTCGACCTAATCTGTCATACATAGAGTTGACTATTTGGTTTTTTTGCATTCATTTAAGTAGGAACCACGTGCTATTTTGTTCTAGATTCGCCACTGACCAAGACTGAAAATTTGATTAACTACTTGTTGAATGTCTTGAGTAATTTATTCATTTATAATATTTTTAACATCACTTTTTTTTTTTTTTATCTCAATGAAGATTTGAATGCAGTATGTTGTGCCTTCCTTATGCATCTCACTGATCCAAAAGAACAATTAGAAAGTTCACAAATCTTCCATGCTTTGCATCACATTAACTTCAGTCTTGCTCATCTATATCTGATATCGATCATTGATTTTATTAGTTTATTGAAGATTATAGAACAAATGGATTTCTATAATAACTTATTTGCCTTCTAAAAGTTGATAACCACTTATATTCCCTTGTTTAACTGCAAAACCATTCAATTGCACTACAAGTTTATATATGTATGAATACACTTTTATGTCTTAAATATTTTTTTTGGGAAAAGAAGAAGTATACATTAACTTTTGAAATCTAATTCTTTAGTGTGGAATGATTTCTAGAGGTCACTTAAACTGTCCACTCAACATGCAAATATTCACTTTGTGGAATGATGGTTTACCTCTTCATACAGTCAAAGAAAGAATATCTAACAAGCGTTCTACCTTGGAGATTTCTTCCTTCAGCTGGATGGGCACAATAGCTGCTGATGTGACTTAGTAGGTACTTTAGCTTTAATTTTATCACTTCTAAAACATATGCATTCCAACTTGTTTTTGTGATAATTATAAGTGATACATATTATAAGGTGCAATGAGAAAACAGAAATATAGTAGTCTCTTGCTTATGGGAATATTTGTTCATGTATTTAATTCTCCATATCTGGCTTTAAACTTTAATGAAGGTATGATTGTCTGACATGTATTTTCTTCCTTTCTTTAGGGTTAATGGTGTTACTGTCACCTTCCTCTAGGATCTTCTTATGTACTTACATCATAAAAACTAGAAATCATATTTTATCTTTCTTCTTCAAGGAATCCACTGTGTTATCATCAGGTATGTATGCTTTAATGTATGTATAATATTTTATTTTATGTTTTATGCCCTTATATACATCTTCTTTTTTTAATAATTTTTTGTCCAAACTGTACTACATACGGTTTTTTTGGTAAAAATAATAGTGATTTTAATATATATATATATATATATATATATATATATATATATATATATATAGTCCAAAATGCCCCTGCATACTGTTTCTTTGATAAAAAAATTATGATTTTAACAGTTTTGACCAAACTGCCCCTAGATTATTATTTTTTTTTAAAATAGTGATTTTATGATTTTTTTTACGAAATTACCCCTACATATTGTTTTTTTGATAAAAAAATAATAAGTTTACTAATTTTGACCAAACTGCCCCTACATATTGTTTATTTGGTTAAAAAGAAGTGATTTTAAGAGTTTTTATTATTATTATTATTATTATTATTATTATTATTATTATTATTATTATTATTTAATGAAAACTACCCCTACATACGGTTTAGCATTAGTGTTATAAATTTGTTTCATATACAACTTACTAGATTGTGATAATGAAATTTGCTTATACAGTTTTATGTACCAGGGCTCTCATAATACGAGAAATGCATGAAAAGTTTCAAATGGTGGTTGTCCGACATACTGGCCATGCGATCCAGGTGACAATTTGGTCTTTTCAAACAAGCTTTTTTTTTATGATAAATTTACACACACCCAACATTCATAACCATTTTTTATACTCTTGAATAATATTTACAGGAGGATGTTCCCGATGAGTATGGAGGTCATGCAGAAGTTAGATCACAATCTTGTATCAACTACACAAATGTTGGTGAAATCACATGAACATCTACACAAATGTTGTTCTAGACCCGTATTCTTCAGATGGGCATGATGGTATTGTCAGAGAAGATGGTAAGTGTTCATTTTTTGACTTTTTACATTTTTTCCCTCATTTTTCATGTGTGTTACATTTCATAGGAGTTATAATGAATGATGAGATTGTGCATCAGTTGTGTAAACAGACTGTTTCACAGGTATTTACCATTTCAACTTATGACTTTTGACTTCAAGGGTGTTGATATTCTCACAAGGTTGACTTTAAGAAGACTGTGAGTGATAACTAGGTGGAGCCTCCACAAGTATCATATGGAAACAAAAGAAGCATACCAATAATAAGTAGAAACAAGAAGGTGTTCCTTAATAGCAATGTACTATTAGCTTATATAGTTAGAGAAAACCTCTTAATAACAATGTACAATTAGATCCCCTTAATATCAATGTATTACAATTTTTTGACATGATGTTATTGGATGAAATTGATAGTTTTGGTAAATATTTGTTTACATATTTTTGTATTATGTGTGAATGAGTATTGTAAAGACGCGTCGTAAATGTATATCGGAAATGGTTACTGAAGTTTATGACACGCAAACGCGTGTCATCTTCATTTATGACAGGGGCTTTCTTGATACGCATTGCGTGTCATAAACATGCACGTCGTAAGGTTATGACATGCAACCGCGTGTCGTCTTCCTTTATGATAGGGCCATCCTTGATACGCATTGTGTGTCATAACTGCGCGTCGTAAATAGACGACGCGCAAAAGCGCGTCGTCTCTCGTTATGACAGGGCCTTCCTTGACGCGCATTTGCGCATCGTCTGAGCGTTTTACGACGCACAATGAGCGTCGTAAAAGGCCTTTTTTCTAGTAGTGAGTTATGTAGGTTTCAAATCAATATGGTTTGAGAAAACAAAATATCTCTAAACATATGATTTTGAATGGTCTTATTTATATTACTAGAAAAACAATATAACACAATCAAATTATGAGTAAAAAATGATACATTAATCCACAACCTTGACTTGTAGAGCTCTTTTAGGGACTCCACCACTGCAAATACGTTCTAAAAGGATTGTACCTATTGAGATTTTTTTTCATTTTCTTATAACATCCTTCTTACATGCAAGATTTTATATAACACGAAAGACACAAAAGATTCACCTTTTTTATAGTAAACATTTCATTAAATGCTAATTAAACATAATATAAATTATAAAACTTTTGAGTGTTAAATCATAATTAAGAAAACTTTTTAATTGCATTAGTTAAAAAATGGGGTTTCAAATGAATGTGGTTTGAGGAAGTTAAAAAAAGGGGTTTCAAATGCATGAGATTCAAGAAAAAAATGTTAGCTTTATAAGTATCTATGATAGATAGATATAGATAGATTGATGTGCTTAAATTAAATATCTTAGATTAATTTTGTAAAAGATAGTGAAAATGTATTAAAGGCCATGACTTGTATGGTATATCATTTAACATATCTTTTACATAACATAATAATAACAGCGTAAAATATTTTGGAAAATGGGATTTTCCTAACTAGGGTTTTAGGGTCAGCTTTTGCGCACTAAATAATCTCTCGCTACAAAACATGAGGTTATGTCTCATGCCCTGGAGTCACTGTAGACGAACCTCCATGGCCACAAGGGTTGAGTAGTATCAGGATTTGAACATGATTTAAACATGGATCAATAGTTTATCTACAATATCATCTTTCATATATCTTACTAAGTCACCACACTCCAAATGGTTGACTTGTATGGTAACATTGAACTGTGTAATAAATGTTAATTGATTCCACCTTCTCATTTTAAAGAAATTAAAGTTGTTTTGAATTATGGAACTATATTTTTCGCACTTTTGAAATTAAAAATTATTTAGGATTTAAAATCAAATGATTTTATACGTATTTTAAAGTATCTTAGCGAGTAGTGTTTCACTATTTGACTTTGTATGTATATTGTTTATGTGACTTACTACTTTATTTTAACTCATTGAGACGTTATCTTCCCTTCTTTAAGCACGTCGGTTTTCCTTTTTTATGCATAATTTCTTAATAGTTATCTTTTAGTTTTATTTTGTAACATCCCAATTTTCTAGA